TGACTGTGGTGCAATCACGGAAGAAGCAACGTGACGCGCCTGAGTCAAGCGTGAAAGTGTGCAAGACCTCAGCTGAGGCAGGACCTGTGGTAGTAGACGCACTAGCACCTAGAGCGTCGGTAGACTCACGGGCACCTAGAGCTGCAGCAGAATCACTAGCACCTGGAACGGCAGCAGACTCACTAGCACCTGGAGCAGCGGTCCTAACAGAACGATACCCTCCACCACCAGGACGACCTCGCTGAATAACCCACTCACGAAGCTGCCGAAGCAGTGCCCGCTGCTGTCCACCCCTGGCCGCAGCAACTGCCGCGGAAGTGGCCATGACAAACAGTGACTGTCAGGAGTAGGTCCAGCACCTCCAGCTCCTACAGCGCCAGCAGCACCTCCTGCACTCCCAGCAGCACCTCCTCCACTCCCAGTAGCACGAGTAGCAGCAGCAGAAGTAACAGCAGCAGGGCGGTTCGGTGGGGCTGGGAGGCCGCACCTCCACCACTCCCAGCAGGACTCCCTCCAGCAGCAGCAGTAGCAGGGCGGCTCGGGCAGCAGCAGCAGACCGAGCAGTAGCAGCAGCAGCAGTAGACCGAGTAGCACTAGCTGTAGCAGCAGTAGTTGCAGCAGCAGCAGCAGTGACAGCTCAGGTTGGGCGGCGCGGCTCGGACAGGGCGGTGCGGCTCGGGTTCAGTGGCGGAGCAGCAGCAGCAAGGAGGAGCAGCTGCAGCAAGTGGCAGCAGCCGCAGCAAGGAGGAGCAGCTGCAGCAAGTAGCAGCAGCAGCAGCAGCAGCAGCAGCAGCAGCAGCAGCAGCAGCAGGGAGGAGCAGCTGCAACAAGTAGCAGCAGCAGTAGCAAGGAGGAGCAGCTGCAGCAAGTAGCAGCAGCAGCAGCAAGGAGGAGCAGCTGCAGCAAGTAGCAGCAGCAGTAGCAAGGAGGAGCAGCTGCAGCAAGTAGCAGCAGCAGCAGCAGCAGCAGCAGCAGGGAGGAGCAGCTGCAGCAAGTAGCAGCAGCAGTAGCAAGGAGGAGCAGCTGCAGCAAGTAGCAGCAGCAGCAGCAAGGAGGAACAGCTGCAGCAAGTAGCAGCAGCAGTAGCAGGGCAGTGCAGGCGGCAGTAGCACTGCAGCAGCAGTTCAGGCGCAGCAGCGAAGCAGCAGCGTGAGTGCAGCAGTAACACGGGCCGCGTGCGGGCCAGGCATGGGCTGTAAGGGCTGCTTGTGGGCCTGGCGCGGGCTGTACGAGCTGCGTGCGGGCCTGGCGCGGGCTGTACGAGCTGCGTGCGGGCCTGGCGCGGGCTGTATGGGCTGCGTGCGGGCCTGACGTGGGCTGTACGGGCTACGCGTCGGGCCTACGCGCGCAGCAGGTGCGTGCTAGGGGCTGGCGGGCAGCGTGAATGGCGCGCGCAGCAGCAGGAACGAGGGGGGACCGGGCGTAGGGGCTGACGGGACGCACGAGTGGCGCACGAGGCAGCTAGGGCGCGGTCAGGGGGGGGTCGCACGTGACTAGGCAGAAGAATCGCGCCTAGGGCAGAAAAAATAACCGTTTCGCCTAGGGCGCGTTTTCGCATTTCGCGTTTCTCCTAGGGGCGCGACTCGGGCAGCAGATCGAAATAGCAGTGGTGGGCCCTTTTAAGAATTCGGTCCTAAGGAGCATTTTGCTCTGATACCATGTTAGAATCACTAGCTAGGTGAGAATGTCGATTAGGTAAGGGGGGGGGGGTACAAGGACTATCGAGAGTGAAATGTTGTACCCTCTAAGGAGAGAACCCTACACAACCTAGAGTGAAATAAGCAGAACAATATGTTTTGACAACAGGCACGTTTGCCTGGGGGGTTATGGGCGCACTGCCCCGCTACTTAACAAGCCTTTTTATCCCAATGGTCTAGTGGTTGGGATTCTGACAACTACTGTTAAAGTTTAGAAGAAAAAAGAGAAGAAGAGGAGTGCACTAGCAAGAATGGGGATACAAATAGGAAACCCTAGAAGGGTTGTACTCGCTATAGAGCACCCCACTACAGGCTAGAGCATAAGATAACATTCTGACACACCCCCATAGCCAAAGTGGGGTGTAATCAGCAGAGCAAGAAAAGCAGTACAAGCTCAGGGTGGATCACAATGTCACCACACATTCTGAGCACAAGTTCAAGAAGGAATAGTTTAAAGGGTACAATTATGAGCAAAGCTAGTGGTAGTCACAACGGGCAAGCGAGGAGGAGGAGAGAGAGTGAGGGGAGAGGAGATAGGAGGCGACGGCTGAAGCTGCAGACACACGGGCAACAGGAGGCAGACTGGCACAGCGGCTACCGGACTAAGCGCCCGGACTACAGGAGTAACAGGCCCCGCGGCTAAAGTAGCGGCAGACGAGCAACGGACCCACGGGCGGCTGGCGTAGAAGTCTACGACTGGGCTACCGGACGAAGTCCCCGGACTACAGGTGCTGCTGGCGACACGACGGCAACCTCCGTGCAACTTCCCCAAACAGTCTCACCCCCCCGACACACACCCGCTGCTACACCGCTAGCTCCACTCCCACGCACCCCCCTTAAACCCTAAACCCCAGTCTCCCACACAACCACCCCCCTCAGCGACAGCTGCAGCAGTGGGAGACGAAGGAGGAGGAGGAGCAAAGGGAGGAATGCACACCGGCCACCCCCATACCCGCCACCCCACAGCTCGGCCCCCTCAGGTCGCCTCGACAGGCGACGGGAAAAGGGGAAACCCGAAGGAGGGGGGGGGGGGGGGGGGGGGGGGGGGAGGCGGGGCCGGGGCCGGGGCCGCGACAGGTAGGGCGACGGGCCGCACGTAGGGCGGCGAGACGACGGGGCCGCGGCCAGAGGTGGCGGGGCCGTGAAGGAAAGCGGCGGGGCCGCGATGGTGGGGCGGCGGGGCCACGATCGGAGGTGGCGGGGCCGCGACCGGAGGTGGCGGGGCCGCGAAGGAAAACGGCGGGGCCGCGAGAGTGGGGCGGCGGGGCCGCGACGGGTCCCCGTCGCCCGTCGCGGCGCCTCCAGAGGGCGACGCGACGAACGACGGGGCAGAAGCCCGTCGCGCGCCTCGGGGCGCACAGCGGGCAGAGAACCGCCGCGCGCCTCGGGGCGCACGGCGGGCAGAAAACCGCCGCGCGCCTCGGGGCGCACGGCGGGCAGAAAACCGCCGCGCGCCTCGGGGCGCACGGCGGGCAGAAAACCGCCGCGCGCCTCGGGGCGCACGGCGGGAAGAAAAACTGCCGCACGCCACGGGGCGTGCGGCACAGAGAGTAGCAGTAGCAGTTGCAGCGGAAGCAACAAGGTGGTGAGCCCACCCACAGGATCGATCCAAGGGGATCGACCTGCTCTGATAGCATGTTAAAGTTTAGAAGAAAAAAGAGAAGAAGAGGAGTGCACTAGCAAGAATGGGGATACAAATAGGAAACCCTAGAAGGGTTGTACTCGCTATAGAGCACCCCACTACAGGCTAGAGCATAAGATAACATTCTGACAACTACAGCCTACACAACATAAACAATATAACAGTTTGACATTGTTCTATGGAAGCCTATGGAAGGCTGAGAGCTAGTCACAAGAGAAAGCGAAGCTGGAGAGCGATGAGAGGAATGAGCGTACGCGGGTCATTTGTAGTGCGCAGGTGTGAGGGTGGTGAGTGGAGTGGAGGAGAGGCAGAGAGGGAAGGCCTTGGGGTCGTCCGGGAGGGAGGCGAGCAGACAGGAGGGCAGCACGCAGGTTCCGTGCGCTGCGGAGAGATGAAGGTGCAGGAAAATTGGGCTGGAATGTTACTCCGGTTCATTCTGGTAGATTCGGCTTCTCGCGCTCTTCTGTGCGGTTCACGCTGGTCGGGTACCTCCCGATCTCCTCGAGAGTGTTGGTTGGGCCTGACTTGTCGGCCCCAAACCACTCTCGAGTCGCTCCCCTAACCTTCGCCACTTCCGAGCCAGTTTTTGCCCTTGGCTTTCGCCTAGCTCGTTCGCGCTGCCTTGCCTTGATCGATTTATGTACCTCCGAATCTTACTGCACCGGGCCGGACTTATGAAATGGTGACGGACGTTTTGCATATTTTATTGTTGAAAGAATGCTACTTCAATTTCGTCCAGGAGTCATAATTCAACATTGTATGCGGACCAGTAATCGCAGTAAGGGGAATTTTGCTCACCCATTCCTTCATACTGTAGATCAAACTACACAGCTTTTCGTCAAATATGAAGAACGTCCTCTTGGCTCCAGGTCTTATACGTATTTTCCCAAATATAAGACCCGGGGGACTTTCCAAAAAAAATATTAAAAAATGTTAGGGTGAACATCATGGAGGCTGGAAATTGATAAGACCCCCAAACATCTATTTTACTCATAAGGGGCCTTTTTTCCCTTAGCAGTACGTTTTTTCTACCAGAATCGAGCCTAACTAAAAAGCAATCGCGAAAGTACCCAGTCAAACCTTCGATCTGATACGGTCAACGCGTCAGATTTCGAGGCTGACGCATTGACCGCGTCAGAATTTCCCTATATCCACCTGTAAAAACTGATTCGCGAATGTTTAAAGCACTGAAAACTGCACAGTCTACACCAACGGGGGGGTCTTAAAATGTTTAATAGCAAAAGGGGGGTCCTCACAGATTAGACCATATTAAGCGTACATCCCCCCACATCCAAGTCCCATGGGACTTTTATTCCGGAGGGTCTTATATCCGGGAAAATACGGTTCCGTACCTGGGGGACTGCCATACAGATCTAAGGTTCTCCGATCTGAAAATTTGTTGCACAGTTTGGGTACTATATGCATACCACATACGGTACACAAAGACACCTTTCCAGACGGCATTGAATCATTCCTCTACAAAATGCGCACTCCCTTCTGGTCTACCTCCACTGCATACCGTAGAATGCTACTGTAGAATGCTACTCTGATAGAACAGCAAATTTAAGACAGTGGTTTAGGTGAGGAGGCAAAACACATGAATGACAAGCCTCCTCGGTTCCTCGCTCCCGAATGCTGATTCCCCAGCAGCACGGCACTGGTCAGCGGCGCATGCGGGCACGCAGGCGGCGCAACTGGCGGGCAGAGAGGCGCGGCTTGAGGCGAGTGGAGGTGGCGGAGGGCAGGGGGCGCGGCCTCAGCAGCTCGTCCAGCAGCCGCTCTGCTGCCACCTCCGTGGACGCCTGTGTGTACACACACACAGACTAGGCAACCTGGTCAAACACAATTCGCTGTTGACATTGTCTGTGAATGCACACCAGCAACACTTTGATTTGGAAGAGATTGCAATGCAGGTGTGACCATCAGCAAGGGCAGCAGGCACCATCTTCCCACACTCAGCAGGCACCGCACCGGATATCTGAAGGGGAATCGCAAGGTCTGGAGTTCGAGGCCCATGCGCACCCTCACGTCTATGCCCAGGTGGTCTATGCCCGCCAGCCACACCTCCTGCCGTGCCATGCACCGGGGGAGACAGGGGTGTAGTGGGAAGGGGGGAGGGGAGGGCAGGGAGAACAAGGAAAAAACACAAAAGAGAGCAGCGAACATCAAATGGGGCATCCAGCAACCACCCACCATCCACATTCATCACACAACGCACCCACCAGTCCTTCCCCTGCCCCAAGTGCCCCAACACACCTCGGCGTCTATCCCGTGCTCGCGCGCACACAGGTCGCGCATGCAGCGCCGCGCGCGCTCAAGCGAGTTGGCGCGCTGCACTATGCTGTCCGCCACGTGCGCCAGCAGGTCCGGTGCCGCCTCCTGCCACTGCTGTGGCGCCACCTCCTCCTGTCACCCACACACACACACACACACACACACACACACACACACACACACACACACGCAGGGGTGGGGAACAGGACAAGCACACACACAGATACTGAGAACGACAGGGAGCAAAGGAAAGGGCGGTGTGGCGATTCCAAATAGCAGGAGGGGAGGTGCATGAAAGTTGTTGATAGGAGTGGAGTTGGGTGGGGTGGGGGCGAGCAGCGACCTGGCAGCCAGAGGAGGCGAGCAGCTGTATGTGCACGAGGTCCAGCTGGTACAGCACCGTGCGCATGCTGCCCTCCCACCCCTCCTCGCCCTCACTTCCCTCCTCGCCCTCACTTCCCTCCTCGCCCTCACTGCCCTCCTCGCCCTCACTGCCCTCCTCGCCCTCACTGCCCTCCTCACTCTCCTCCTGCTCCGCCTTCACCACCTCCGCCCACTCAGCTGCATTGAACGATCCCACTCGTCCCACCCCTTGTCCCTGCACTGCCTCTCCCTGCTCTTCCCCTGCCACGGCCCCTCCAGCGCCAGCAGCAGGCCTCAGCAGGTCACTTCCCTGAGACTGCTGCCCCTGCCCACCTCCTTGCGCTCGCTGCGCGTCCTTCTCTGGCCCCACGGCACTCAGCCACATGGCCCCAGGAGGCACCTCCAAAATCCCATCGCCTGTCCTCCCCACTGCCCTCGCCCCATCCGTGCTGCTGCCGCCGCCGCTGCTGCTGCTGCTCGCTCCCTGCGCACTCGCCTCACCATCCTCCCCTCTGCTCCCCGTCCCCTGCTGCCCCTCTGTCATCTCCTCCCACGCCCCCTGGCCCTCGTCCTGAGCCCAGCCTCCCTGAGCATCCCTGCCACTACTGCCCAAGTCACTGTCGCCATCACCATCACCAGGCCGCCAGTCGGCCCCCCACGACACCTCGAAGGCCGCATCGCCATGGGCGTCTGGGAGGTCCGGGCGCGAGTGGAAGCAGGCGTCGCCCTGGAAGACGTGCTCCAGCCCCTCCACGCGGTACCCCACCACGCCCAACACCGTCTCCTCCTCCCGCCCTCCCACCCCCAACCCACTGCCCCCTACCCCTGCTGTGCCGCTGCTGCTCTCGCTGGCCCCGGCCGCTGCTGCCGCTCTCGGCTCCGCCCTGGCCGTGGGTGCTTCCGGCTTCCGCACCCTCATGCTGCCCTCGCGCTTGCCCTTGCTGCTGCTGCTGCTGCTGCTGCTGCTGCTGCTGCTGCTGCTGCTGCTGCCTGCTTCATGCCCTTCACTAACCCCTTCCGCCTGCTTCTCCTGCACCTCGTCCCGTCTCTCCTCCTGCCCTACCCCTGCAATCGCCTCTTCTGCTCCTGCAAGAACGGCTTCATCCACACGAGCAGCAGCAGCAGCCGCGCTGCCTGTGCTGCCATCGGCCTCGCTCTCACGTCCCTGCAACACACTCGCCTCACTCGCCTCCACACCACCCGCACCACCCTCCCCCTCCCCCTCCCCCTCCCCATCCCAGTGGTCCTGGTCCTCCCGGGCGTCGTACGAGGCTCGCTCCCCCAGCAGCCCGCGCACGCGGAACTCCTCCTCCGACGACAGCGGCCGCACCCGCGCCACCAGCAGCAGCCGCTGCACCGGCCGCGTCATGTCCGCCATGGGGTCCGCGCCCACCGCCTGGGGGGACGCATGGGGGCGCATGGGGCGCATGGGGGCACATGGGGGCGCATGGGGCGCATGGGGGCGCATGGGGGCGCATGGGGCGCATGGGGGCGCATGGAATTGAGCGCCTAAAGAGGGAGAGAGAGAGAACGAGCGAACGATAAATTTTTGAAACGAAAGGGAGTCAGCGGAAGAGAACGGAAGCGCGAGAGGGCGGGAGGAGTGGGGAAGAGGGTGGGGGGGGAGGGAGGGGGGAGGTGGTGTGGGTCAGAGATCGGCAAGAGATTACGATTTAAGCGAACAGCGCGAACAAAGGGGAGAGGAGGGGAGACGGCGAGGGCAGCAGCGGAGGGAGGTACGCACGCTGATCATCTTGTCGGCGAAGTACACGGGGTGCACCCACTGCAGCGTCTCCCGCCCGCCCCACGCGCCCAGCGACCCCAGTGCCTCTGGCGACAGCGTGTCAAACAGGTGGTCCGCGTCCGGCCCTATCATCGCCCGCCAGAACTGCCGCGCATGAGGGGGGCGGGGGAGGAGAGACGCGGGAGCGGGTGATGAAGGGGAAGATACACGGACGACGATGAGTGAGACGGGGCGAGGGCGGGAGGGGAAGTGGGGAGGTTGATGAGAGGGAGCAGTGGAATGAGCAGGAAGCGTTTCCCACTCACATGGCGATCGTCCTCCGACAACACCAAGTCCTCGTCGTCGCCCTCCTCGTCTTCATCGTCATCATCATCATCATCCTCCTCCTCCTCGTCGTCCCGCTCCCCCCTCGAACCCTCGCCGCCACTGCCAGCCCCGCCCAGCAGCAGGTTCAGCGACTGCCAGGCGTCGCCGGCCCGCCCGCGCAGGTCGCTGCCCCTGAAGCCCCTCTCGTCGTCGCTACCGTCGCTACCGTCGTGGTGGGCGTCTTGCAGATGTTGCGCGTCGTCCGCCGTGCCCTCGATGAGGTCGTCCAGCGCCACCTCGTCCATGCCGCCGAACCCCACCAGCGCCTGGAATCAATGCACCACACACGCCACACGCACGCGCATGGGGCAAGAGAGAGAGCGGGCCGCACACGAGTGTGCGCGTTGAGGCGGGAGCACGAGGACTGGCATCGGTGTGGCAGGAAGCATGGCAGTGCAGCGTAGCGTGGCACGCAAAGAAGGAAAGCACGGTGCAGGGCGGGGCAGGGCGGGGCAGGGCGGGGCGGGGCGGGGGGGGCCGGGGAAGGGGGGGGGCCGGGCGGGGAGCACTGACCGAGCAGAGGCGCGCGTCCTCGTGGAGGATGCGCAGGAAGTCGTCGTCCTCCTCCACCTCCACGAACACGTCTGCACGCCGCCATGCGCCACACCGCAACGGGCCGGGGGAGAGGAACGCAGGGAGGATAGTGAGTGCGGATGAGGGACGGGTGCAGGCCGGACACCTGATACGCACGGTACCGCGCTGCCCTCACACCACCATCCCCAAAAGGAGTTCCGCCGCTCTGGCATCTACTGCCTCCTCGCCCAACGCGCAGCCACTACCCGCACTGCCCTTCCCCATGCCCGCCCGCCCCCCTTTCCTCCTTGCTCTCCCACCGCCTTCACCCGTCCCTGCACCCCCTCCCCGCCACCCCTGCCCCCCTGCGCTACGCTCATCCGCAGTGCGGGGCGCCAGGCCGCGCGGCGTACCTCCGTTGTGGTCCACGACGAAGCGCGCGTCCGCCGCCAGGAAGCCCGCGGAGCCCTCGGCGAGCGCGGCGAACACGATGGCCTCACCGTTCACCTGCCGCCGCGCGGGGGGCACGGCGCAAGAAGGGGGAGAGGGAGGGGAGGGTGGGGAGGGGGGATGCACGAGGAGGGCGCAGGTGGGCGGGCGCAGGGGGGTAAGCAAACGGGGGAGGCGCAGAACAGAGGGCGCATGCGGGAACACGGGTACGCATGGGGAAGCTCGTGGGGCAAGGAATGGCAAGCCCGTGGAGGGGCGTGAGCGCGTCGCTGATTGGGCGTAATTGTGGATGTGACGTAGCGATCGAGCAGATCCAGGCATCCGCACGGCGGTACACAACGGCAGTGTGGACGGCACGACGACCGCAACTCACAACCCCGCCCCGCAGCCATATTCATCCTCCTCACTCCTCCCTCCCCCTCCCCTTCCCCCCTCCCCCTCACCTCCGCCACGGTGCGCGCCACCTCCGCCGGCGACAGCTGCGCTGCGCCACCGCGCCGGCCGTCCTTGCCCACGCCTGCGCGCCCTCCGCCGTCCTGCTCCTCCGCCGGCACGTGCTCCAGCGGGTGGTACCCAAGCGCACTCGCCGACGGCGGCTGCGACGCTGAATGCGGGGGCGCGGGGCCACCGGCGCCCCTTCCGCCGCCACTCTTCTTGCGGAAGGGCAGCCCCGCTGGACCCGACGGAGTCCCCGCGGCACCGGCTGCTGCCGTGACGCGTGCGCGCGCAGGGGCTGGGCGCCAGCGCAGCGAGAGGGAGGGCGGAGCTTGGGTATGCGAGGAGAGGGCGGAGGAGACAGCCCGCAGGGGCGTGGAAGACGCAGCGACGGGGCCGTGCAGGTGGAAAAGCATCGGCCTTGCACGGGGCGTCGCAGGTGGCGGCTGCACGGCCGCTGTGGAACCCCGCACTGGCTGCGACGACACCGCAGAGGTGGACACCGGGTGCACAGACGACAGCATGGCTGCGCTGCGACCACGCCGTAGTCCTATGGCGGGACAGAGGGGAGAAGGGAACACCGCCGATCACGGCACGGGGGGTGGTGAGGGATAGCGGACTACTCACCGCAATTAAAGTGAACCGCAAAGCACTGGGTTGTGGAGAGTAGCAGAGGACAAGCAAGTCGCGTGTGGGCAAAGAGAGATCGACACCGGCAGTAAGAGCACGAAGTCATTCTTTGAGGAGAATTGCTCGTTCAGCGGACGTTTTGACGAAGTTCAGGTGGGAGACAGCGACGCATCCACGCATCGGCGACCAACATGTGATTTCTATTATTTAGATTCTGTCAGGAGGCAACACAGCGGGAAGAAACCATCTCAGACGCGCGACAAACAGTAAGAGTAAGAGATGGCCGACCTGAAGTCGGGAATGAGCGTCCACACCCGCCACGGCTCGCGAATCCGCCTCGGTTCGAATCTAAGACAAACGAGAACCTAAATTCCGTGTGCCTTGTTCTAATTAGTTTCCAGGAGAGTACAAGTTACATCAAACCTCCGTCCCTCTCTGCCTCAAAATAGGTCGGCCTTGTCTTGCACCTCGAAGGGTGGAAAGGAGGGGAGAAGAACGAGGTCTTGCAATGGGGAATAGCAGGGGAAAAGCGCGGTAAATCCAGGAAAGGGCGATGAGATTTTTGCAGCAACGGGCAGAACAATCAGCCCGAAGGAAGGGGTGGAGTTAGGGGAATTAACCGTTACAAGAATATAGAACCATACTCAATGAGGGGAGTTGGGTTTGGAACTCGGGGTGCACATTCAGCTGAATGTGCATCAAAGGTTATCCCTTGACTGAGTGGGTTACGAGGTGTGCTTTCAACCCCTTCAAGTCGAAATTCGTTTCCCCCCTCCCCCGCAATTTCGTTTCCCCACGCCCCCGCAATTTCATTTCCCCCTTCCCTTCGAAATTCGTTTCCCCCCTCCCCCGCAATTTTGTTTCCCCCCTCCCCCGCAATTTCGTTTCCCCCCCCTCCCGCCAATCTGTTTCATCCCTCCCGCCATTCGGTTTCACCCACTCCCGCCATTTCACCCCCTCCCGCCACCTACGAAATGCCCGAAGCTCTAGCGGAATCATTTTTTTGTCGCCCCTCGTGAGCCAATCACTGTTTTTCTCCAAACCCCCTTCCCAACATCTCAAGCCGAACCGCGTTGAATGTGCACCCTGGTTAGGTGATTCTCATTGATGAGGGGATTGTAGGGTTGTCCCACGGGTTTCCAAAGCAACCCTGAGACAACCCTACAATCCCCTCATCAATCGAAGCACCCGCCATTGCAGGGCAGGGTCAATCCTGACCGAGGCGCTACGTTGGAGCATAAACAAAATGGAATCTGAAAGTGTAGCAGCTGGGACACGGTTGCCATAGACTGGGACAGAGGATGCCTCGCTGTAAACCGAAGCCGTAGACTGCTCAGGTATGCTTACGTGTCACGGGCCTTTTGTTTGTGGTGTAGCTCAATCAGTCTGGACAGGGCTTGCTGATTCGCTGAGACGGTACACTCACTCCAAACAAATGCTGGATGTCTTGCTGCTACTGGTGGAAAAAACTTAACCACTCGCTTATCTGCCACTTCGGACAGGAGGAATATCCTTGGGTCGCGGAAGCGCGCAATTCTCGGTGGTGTATTTGCCCAGGATGAACCTATCGAAATTTGTGATTCGTTTAGCCTACGACTCTCAATGCTGAGAGAAACATTGTAATGAATTATAATTCATTACTCTAGAGTTTGCTCCTAGCGAGGTTTAAAACCAGGGTCTCAAGTAAGAAATTTTGCCATCAATTGCAAAACATTTGAGACTTCAGTTACCTTGTTTGTGTAGGCGAGGTGGACTGGTCGGCTAGGGAAGTTGGCGTGCGACACTCCCCCTCTCTTGCCTCAGCACCAATTGTAAAACAAATTTCAGGTACATGATGTGAGAATAATACGAGGAATAAAATGACTAGAAATGAGATGGGTACAAATAGGGAAACCTAGAAATGTTGTACCCCCTATTGTCTAACCCACTACAGCCTAAACAGGCTATAACATAAGTTTGACACACCCCCATAAGCAAAGTGGGGGAGAACAAGAGGTCACAAGACCAGTCAAGCAAAGCAAAGCAAGCTCAGGGTGGATCTCAAGGATACCACACAAATTCCGAGCACAAGCAAGCGGTCACAAGACCAGTTCACATGCAGTTTGATAATATAACAAGAGGTACAGTGATCACAACCTAGCAAGTGTAAGCATGCAGGTATAAGTATAGAGATCACAGTACAAGCAGAGTCAAGAAGTAAGCAAGTGAGGCACAGTAGGCACAAGGCCTAGAACAGTACAGAAACGCTGATGATCACAAGGCTGAAGCGCCTTGGTGAACACATCAGCAGTGTTGGCCCGAGTGGCCACGTAAGCAAGACGAAGCTGACCATGCTGCTGCAACTCTCGAGCAAGGAAGTAGCGCAGAGCGATGTGCTTCGTTCTGTGCTCCAGTCTGTGCTCCTGGCACAAGGCAATCATGGCCTTGTTGTCGACGTACAGCACTGGAGGAGAACGAGGCGGCTCTCCAAGGTCAGTCAGCAGGTAGGTCAGCCAGCGTAACTCCAGTGCAGCCATGGCCCCTGCGTAGATCTCAGCCTCACAACTGGAGCTGAGAACAGAAGACGAGCGGGTAGACCGCCAAGAAACAGAGCCGGAGCCAAGGCTGAAGGTGTAACCCTGCGAGGACCGCTGCGTAGCCAAGTCGTCAGCCCAAGAAGCGTCAGCGTGACCAGTGAGGACAACTGGACCTCGCCCTGCAAGCACGAGCCCCATGCCCGACGTACTGCACAAGTAGCGCAACACCCTCTTAACAGCATCCATGTGCTCCTTCCTGTGACGGCCAGGAGCGACATAGCGTGCTAGGATGCTAAGAGGGTAGGCTAGGTCAGGTCGAGTGCAGGTCATCAGGTACATGAGGCAGCCCACAAGCTCTGGATACGGGCCACTCGGCTCTACGGACTCGTCCGAAGGTGGAGCTGAGAGCGAGTGACCGGTAGGCAGAGGAGTGGACTGTGGCGAGGAGTACGTGAAGCGGAAGCGTTGAAGGACCTGCTGCACCATGTGTGACTGAGTCAAGGTAATGGTGCGCTGTGCTCTGTCCCGGGTGATCCGCAAGCCAAGATAGCTTGTCAGCTCACCCAGGTCTGTGCACGTGTGTCTCTTCTGCAGCTCCGACTTCACGTGGGCGAGTGCCTCAGTGTCAGCAGTAGCAAAGACCAGGTCGTCTACGTACACGAGAACGTAGAACGGCGGCAGAGTGGTGTCGGTGCGTAGAAACAGCGACGGGTCAGCAGTAGAAGGAGCAAACCCAAGAGGCGCAAGCGTAGTCCTCAGTGTGTCGTGCCACTCACGGGGTGCCTGGCGGAGACCGTAGACTGGCCGCCGGAGGCTCCACTGGGTACCAGGAGGAAACGACCCAGTGAAGCCAGGTGGGCGGCGCAGCCAGATCTCCTCGTGCAGGCTGCCCTGTAGGAAAGCAGTGCTGAAGTCAAGAGAGTGGAGCTCGTAGTCACGCTGAGCGGCGACGTGCAGCAGAACCCGAAGAGTGGTCATCTTCGGGGTAGGGGAGAAGGTGTGAAGAAGTCAACTCCCTCTCGCTGACTGAAGCCTCGTGCAATGTAACGTGCCTTGAAGACAGGCGGAGAACCCGGCGGCCGCTTCACCCTGAAAATCCACATGCCACTGACGATGTTTGCCCCAGGCGGGGGAACCTCGTCGACGTAGGTGCCTGTGGACTTAAAGAAAGCCATCTCTGCGTCCATGGCTGACTGCCACTGAGAGGAGTAGGGACCCTCTATCGCCTCTGCGTAAGAGCGCGGGGTCGGGATGTCTGGTGCATCCGGGTCTCCCTCAGGGGCAATCAGCATGGACACGAGATGAGGTAAAGCAGCGGTAAAGCACACAAACTCCTCCTGTCTGTCCTCAAGGACGTCCGTGCCAAGAGCACACTCACCCCCGACGGACGGAGGACAGACAGACTCATACTCAGCAACAAGGCTAGCGGCGTAGTCTAGACGACAGGCAGCAGCAAAGTCAACAAGCTCAGCAACTAGAGTAGACGCAGCAGTGGACTCAAAGGAATGGTCAGTGACAACAGTGGCGAGGAAACGCGTGACAGTAGGACTGGCAGCACGAAGGGAGTCAGACTCTGGGTCCGGACCGTCAGGAAGAGAGGACGCAGGAGGAGACGGCAGAGGGACACGCTGTGGAGCAGTGGAAGGACGCAGAGTCATATAGTGAGTGCCAGGGACAGGAGGAGGACGCTCACGCGGAACACGACGACCAGTGCGGACAGCGTGGACAGGCGACTTTGGACGAGACTCAGGCGACGCAGGACGAGACTCAGGCTCACGACGCTCCGTAAGACCTCTAGTCGGCCCAGCGTAAGGAGAAGGACCAGGCAGCGGAGAGGCTGGCTGTAACTGTGACTGCGACTGGACAGGCGATGGACTCAGTAGGGGAGGAGTAGGACCAGTAGAGGGCGGGAGGCCAAGAACCTGCTGAAGGAGCGGAACGTAGTACGGCCGCGGCCGCGCAGCACCTCCTGAACTAGCAGAGACAGCACCAGCACCCTCAGCTCCAGGGTCTCCAGCTACAACACCCGCAGCACCACCAGCAGCTCCAGCAGCTCCAGTACCTCCAACTCCCGCAGTAGCTCCAGTCCCAGTAGCTCCAGTACCTCCAGTACGAGCACCTCCAGGACCAGCGGCTCCAGCAGCTCCAGCACCAGCAGCACCTCCAGCAGCTCCAGCACCAGCAACACCTCCAGCAGCTCCAGCACCAGCAGCACCTCCAGCTGCTCCAGCACCAGCAGCACCTCCAGTAGCTCCAACACCAGCAGCACCTCCAGTAGCACCACCAGCAGCTCCAGCACCAGTAGCACCTCCAGCAGGAGGCCCCCCAGCTCCAGCAGCACGGCTACAGCGCCGAGCGTACCACTCACGAAGCTGCCG